TGGTCATCACAAGTTAGGTTTGAAACCAATTTCCTAATTAATTTTAGTGTATCATTCTACAGCATCAATTAAGCAATACTTATGGTTTAAATTTAGCCAAATTAATGCTAATTTCTTTTGACAACTTTGGAAGTATATTTCAACCCTCTTTAGATAACTGACAAAAAGACATGCAGGATTGAGCCCCACAAAGGTTTCCTTGCTATTATGTTTTCTGCTTTCTTTCAGAAACGCCTCATCCCATCAGGACACAGCGCTGTTTCTCGGTTGTAAGTGAACAGACACTTCCCCGAGGAGCCCGGAGTCCCCGGAGCCTGGGTGCAGACGCTGACTCCACGCTGTGACCACAGCTCCCAGGTGACGGCTGCGCTGGTATCACCTGCAGAGCTGGCTGGAATCAGCAGGCTGAATTTTCATTCGTATGTGAGCAGACCGGAGCGATCAGAGTGGCATACCTGTCAGCATATGATCACCCTGATAAAAAGAACTAGTGATGCCAACTCCTAATTAAAAAGAGAGGCAGTACGCATGTGTTACCGCCTCTCTCTCTTGAATCATTGCTCCCAAGAAAGAAAGATACAAGCCACAAGGGGAAAAGATAAAAGTGGGGGGGAGGTGGCACCATCTTGGGGAAGAAGGAAAAGGATCACCGATGAGCGGAAGCAGAGCTGCAGCCAGGAACTGCAGGGGGCTGGACCACAGGCACCTTTCTGCTCTGAGACCCAGGCAAGCTCCAGGCTCGGGGGCACCGGCAGCGACCACACTGGGCAGGGTGGGGGTGGGTGGGGAGACAGAGCTGAAGACAGGGGGACACGTGGACCCCAGGTCCACCCCCGCCCTCCCCCACCGCACGGAGACCTCTCAGAGGAAGGGCCAGCTTGCTCAAGGGCTTCAATTTGCTCGTTAGAGACTCCTGTCGTGCACGTAAACTGAAAATGAAGGATGAGAGACGTTTCAGGAAAACTTTCCAACAAGACAGAAACCAAAAGGAATTCGAGGAAGGAGTCTTGAACAATTAAAAGACTACGGACAAAAGATGTCCAGGGGAGCAGTGTTGAAAGATCACACACTGCCGAGAACAGAGAAGAGCTGAGAGACATCGTCCAATATCGACTTAACAGAGAAGAAAGGTGTTTATCAGGAAACAAAGGAAGAGGGGAGAGTAGAGCTCAGTGGGAGAGCACGTGCGTGCATGAGGTCCTGGGTTCAATCCCCAGCGTCTCCATTAAAATAAAGAAGTAAACCTAATTACCTCTCTTCCCCGCCCGCCCTACCCCCCTGCAAAGGAGTTAAAAAAGAAACAAAGGAAGACATTTTCTCAAAATCAGCGAAGGTCAAAGGGCCTTCCTGGTGCCCAGCAAACATGAAAACAGACCATTTGAAGCACATTGTGGTGAAAAGGGAGAGAAGCTGCCAGGAGCTTTCACAGAAAACAGCAGGTCCACCTGGGAAATGGGAGAGTAAAACGTAAAAAAGAGTAAAAAGTGTCACAGCAAAGCTCAGAGGTACAGGGGAGCGGAATAAGGCTCTTCAACATCAGAGGAAAACACTCTTCGGGCAAGAATTCTAACTAAGCCAACCGTCTATCAGGAAAGAGGCAGGAAGGGTTTGGTCTCCATCAGAGAGACACAGAGAGGTCGGCCACCCCTCAGGGCACCGGGGGTTAGAGGAGGGCGGGAGGGCTCCCGAGCCTCCCCAGCTGTGCTCTCTGGGCGCCCACCCCGTGCCAGGCGCAGTCCGTCACGGGTGGACAGGACACGGCTCTGATCCTCAGAGAGCTTTCATCCTCACGGGGACGGACACCTCACAGACCTGGCCTGTTAGGTGAGGTGCTGAGGACAGTAAGCGACAGGGTAAGCGACAGGGTGCGACAGGGCAGAGAACGGAGCGATCTCGGGGCGGGATGAAGCCCTGAGTAGTCGTGGGAAGTGTGGTCAGGAGGGAGGCCCCAGGTCCGCCCAGTCCTCACTCAGGATGCCCTCCTGGCCGCATGCTCCCAGGACAAGGTCCCCCTCGGTCCCAGCATCTCATGTCCTCGGGATCCTCTGGAAGGCTTTGCCCAGCAGTGAGGCTAAGCAGCCCCAGTCACCGCAAGTCTGGACCCTGGCCAGCCCACCCTCCCCCCGCATGCACTGGGGACCCCGCAAGGGGGATGGAACTTGGACAGAAAGGGCACAGGGAGAGAGGTAAGTCCCGGCCCAAACGGGTCTAGGCAGACACGACAGCTTATGCTCCTCCAGGCGTTTCTGTGTGTTTCCACGAGCAAGAGCAGGTGTTTCAGCCTCATTAGCGGACGCAGACCGAGGCACCACCAGGTAAGGAGACCACCCAGGCTCACAGGCCACACTTCGCTACAGAGCCCAGCCTATCACCCGGGCCTGCTTTAGAGATGCCAGTTCCCCTCCCCCCATCACTTTTCTTTTTCTCCTGGCCAGTGAAAACACAGCTCAGGTTGTAAGTGATTCACAGGAACGAAAGTGCTCCCAACTTAGCACGTAATAAAATGTAACTCTGCTCCTCCTGGAATTTCTCCTTGAGTTGTCATTTTCTCACCCTCCCCATCCCACCTCCCGTGGTAAGAGACAGGTACCAGGACTTGGCTAGACTTGCTCCACCTCAGGCTAGAAACAACCACGATTCTGGTGGGGTGGAAATGAGAAAGGATGAAAAAAAGACAACCTGGAAGGAGAGAGGAGTTTCAGGGGTTGAATCACTAGCATCCCTGCAAGTTCCCGTCTGGGACTCGCCACCCCCACTTCGTCCCATCTGTGGGTTGCAGTGATGTGCTCTGGGCCAGGCTCGTGCACGGAGGTGCAGGGGCGTGGGGGGTGGGGGACCGCCCAGGCCAACGCGTGGAGTCAGCAGCTCGGTCCTGCTGAGCAAGGAGAGGACGGCTGGGCCCGTCTCCCTCTGGGTCTGGCCCAGCTCCCAGAGCTGACTCAAGAACTGAGTCATCATTTGCAACCTGCAGTCAGGCAACTCCTTAGCCGATGGAAAACGTCCTGAGTTTCTATGGTACCCAACAGTGAAATCATACTCTCATAGTTAATCCTCAGAACTCCAGCTGGAGAGAAGCACACCAGTGTCTGCAATTTACTTGAAATAAGTCAAAATGTAAAAAGGATGGCGGGAGGGAGGGAAGAAAGGAGGTTGGGATGGACATGTGATAAAACAAGTAGAGTAAAATGATCAAGGTAGAATCCAGCTATCACATACATGAGTATTCACTGTGACATTCTTCACCATGGTTGTATTTTTGAGATTTTTCGTGATAAATTATTGGCGGGAGGGTCGCCCAATCATCCTGAATTAATTTCAATACCCATGTGAATGAACAGCCCAGCTTCCAGCTTCCTGGTGCTCAGTACCTCAGGGGCCTCCCCTCCGCTCATGGCCTCGATGCTCACTGAGAGCAGGGCTGCCTGTGAGGAAGGAAGGCGCTGTTTCTTTAGACCAAATTCCTTTCATTTCAGCTCACTGTCCTCACCAGTGCTTCCACCTCAGGACGATCTCAAGAGCCTGAACCACAGCCCACTTCTCCATCATTTCTTTTTCCCGCATCCAGCAGAGATTCCAGGGGTCACGAACCAACCACACACATTCTGTGTGTGTGTGTGTGTGTGTGTGTAGCTTTGTTTACAACTGCCAAAACTTGGAAGCAACCAAGGTGGTCTGCAGTATGTGAATTGATAAATTATGGTCCATCTAGACAACGGACTATTTGGCATTAAAAAGAAGTGGGCTGGTTGGGGTGGCGAGAGTGTAGCTCAGTGGGAGAGCATGTGTTTAGCATGCACGAGGTCCTGGGTTCAATTGCCAACACCTCCATCAAAAAATAAATTAAGTAAATAAATAAATAACTCTGATTATCTCCTCCCCACCCCCCCAAAAAGGAGTGTACTGTCCATACACGAAAAGACATGGAAGAACCTTAAATACACATTGCTGCGAAGGAAGTCCATCTGAAAAGGCTGCTGTCTGATTCCAACCATGTGACATTCCGGGAAAAGGCCAAGCTATGCTGACAGTAGTATGAGTGGTCAGGGGCTGCAGGGGAGGACGGATTAACCCAGTGGAGCACAGTGCGTGTCTATGGGGCAGCAAAAACTGTTCTGTGTGACACTAACATGGTGGGTTATTACACATTTGGTCAAAACCACAGGTCGACCAACACAAAGAATGAACCCTAAGGTAAACGCTAGGCTTTGGGTGATGGGGACGGGTCAGTGCAGGTTCAACAACTCTACCTGTCGGTACTTGTCGGGTGCAGGATGTTGACAGTAGAGGAAATGGGGGGATGTTTGAGAACTCCATACTCTCTGCTCAGTTTTTCTGAAAGCTTACAACTCCTAAAACAACAGCAACAACAACAAAACCCTACTAATTAAAACCAGATTATAGTCCATAGAGCTAATACTGGAAGCAGAGCAGCAGTCACTTTTTGGAAACCCTCAGGTACCGAACCCAGACACTCCTGTCTGTACTCAGGGCATCAGGCAGCACAGCGCTTACCTGGCGCAAGTCACTCCAGCTGTGGGCTCTCCACATTAATTCATTTTTTCCCCTCCTGATAACGAGTAAGGAGATGGAATTAGAAATCAAAAACTTCCCAACAAACAAAAGTCCAGGACCAGTGGGCCTCACAGGTGAATTCTAACAAAGGTTTTCTTTTTAATTGAGGTAGAGCTGGCATATAACATCATATTAATTGCAGACGTACGACACGGTAATTTGGTAATTGTGTACAAGACAGAGTGACAACTACAGTAGGTCCAGTCACCGTCACGACCATGCAATTACCCGCCTTCACCCATTTCTCCCCCCATCCCCTTCCCCTCTGGTGACTATTCATTTTTTTAAATATTGTTCCTAGAATCCTAATTTTTAACAGAGGTACTGGGGACTGAACCTAGTATATCATGCATGCTAAGCATGTGCTCAACCACTGAGCTATACCCTCCTCCCTGGCTACTCGTTTTTTATTAAGACATCCTCCACCTGAAAACACAGAACACGTCACGAATCTGCATGTCATCCTATGCAGGGGCCATGCTAGTCTTCACTGCGTCTTTCCGATTTTAGTACATGGGCTGCATCAGCACCTTCCCCAAAAACAAGCAGGGCCAGGCATCGGGGAAGCAGAGGCAGGAAATAGCCCAAGCAGCCGCCGCCTTCAGGGAGCTTATCTGGAGTGGAGAAGCCAGATGTCCAGCAGGAAAGAGGGGACCTACCTCCCACCCTGGGCTCAACTCCTAAAACATCTCTCCTGCGCTGGAGCTCTTTTCCGTGGCCCGCATCTTCCAAGATAGCTCAGTCCCCTCTTATTTTGACGGAGCACATCTCTCAACAGCTTATACATCTTTTATTATTACGAAGTGTTTTAGATCTACTCAAAAGGAGAAAGAACTCTATGAGAAACCCATTCCCTCAGACTCAATAACATCAAGATTTGGATATAGTTGCTTCATTATCCCATTTCTTCTTTTGCTTTTCATTCTCCACTGAAGCTCTTTAAAGGAACTCAGTTCTTCAACACATCTCTTTAGAAAATGTGGAATTAAAAACCCATAGCTACCACAGGGAATTCTATTCAATATCTTGTAATAACTTTGAATGAAAAGGAATATGAAAATGAATATATATATATATGTGTGTGACTGGGATTTTACGCTGTACACCAGAAACTGACACACTGTAACTGACTATCCTTCAGTTAAAAAAACTAAAACAAAACAAAATGCAGCCACAATGTCACTATCCCATAGAACAAAATTAAAAATAACTCCTTGCTGTCATGTAAGATTTTAGTCCATGATAAAACATTCTGATTGAAAAATGTGTTCTTCCCCAAAGGGGTTTCAAACAGGATCCAAACAGTGTCCACCTGTCTTTTCCCTGGAGCCACATGGGTCTCCCGGCTGCTTCGTTGTGGAGTCAGCCTGACCCCGCCTTTGTTTATTTCACACCATTAATCTGCGTGTTGCTTCCAGCTGACCCACATTCTGGATGTGTCTGCTAGTTTCCTCACGGTGTCATTTGTTTAATGTCTCCCTTTCCCTCCCATATCTTCTGCAAATAGAATTAAGCTCTGGAAGTGTGATTAACTCTGGGCACACTCTTAGGCAAATACACCTCGTAGGCAGTACTCTGTGCCTCCTGCTGCACCCACCTGCTGACACCTCGGTGAGGAACCCGGCAGCAGACGGAGGTGGTGACCGCCCAAACTCCATGCAGCAAAGACTGCCCCCCACCTCGACCTTCCATCCAGTGGTTTCACCCATCAACAGTCACCGCCCCCATCTGTGAATTCATCAAGAGTTGTACAATAAGGAGTTTCTAATCCTTCCATCCCTTCCACAGCTACCAGTGGGAATTCTTGAAACCCAACTTTCCCTTATGAGTTACAGTGATCTGTTTACCTGTAATACAGCTGATAAGGCAAAAGGCAGGCAAAAGGCATAGTTCTTTCCTTTTCACTGCTGACTCTCAGAGTAAAGCTTTCAACCTCATTCTGAAGTCATCCATTAGGGTCCAATGAGTGGTTTGTTTGACTTTCTCTTTTAAGGCGTTCTTATAAACGCATAGAATTTTACATATTCTTAGTGTTTTAAGTAACTGTATTTTGGCGGGGGGAGACAATTAAGTTTATTTATTATTTTTAGTGGAGGTACTGGGGATTGAACCCAGGACCTTGTGCATGCTAAGCACGTATTCTACCACTGAGCTACACCCTCCCCCCAATAATTGCATTTCTATGTGTGCGTGACTCAAATTGCCCCATCTTTGTCCAATGAGAGACCCTTCATGGTGGTTCCTGGGTCTCCTGACATGATCCCACTAGTCTTTAGTGACTCCTTCACTCTCTGGCATTGTGAAATGCTTGCTCCACCATCATCTTGACTATTCCCTGCCCCTAACCCAGAACCAGCCATTCCGCCATGGAAAGCTACATTAGATGCTACATACAGTCTGTGTGTCAAGTGTGTTCACGGCTGCAGTTACCACTGCTTGTAGGACTGGTCTGTAAACAGAGCTAGGGAAAAAAATTTTTAATAAAAAATAATCAGTTCATAGTGATATTTCCAATTAAGATTTAATCTCACTGGATTTTTCCTTAAGATCTGCAAAATGAGAAGATTTTTCACTCTTTCTTTCTAAACTGTAGGCCTCTCACAGTCCTGACTTTGAAGGAGAGCCTCCAGCTCTTCCCCACTAAGATGCTAACTTTGGGGTGAGTGTTTGTGTGCACCTGAGAATGTTCAGTCACACTGAGCTACTACTTTCTGGAGCATTTGTTAAGGAATGAATGTTAAATATCATTAAATGCATTTTTGGCATCTATAGAGATGTTCATATAAATAATTTTTCCTCTTAAACGCACTCACCTACTCTGATGAACTCTATGAATGGATGAATAAATCACATCTGAATTCCTGGAATAGACTCTGTTTGATCATAATCTACCTTTTTTACTTACCATCAGACTATATTTGTTAGCATTTTACTTAACATTTTTACTTAAAATCTTTATCAGATTTTAGTATTAATGTTATATTCACTTCATTAAAAGAATTTGGAAATTCTTCTTTTTTCTGGGCTCTAGAACAGTTTAAGTGGTATTGAGATTATCAGCTTTGAAGCTTTGGAAGAATTCCCCTATGAGACCACCTGGACGTGGTACTTAAGTTCTTCTGCAATTTTTCTTACTTCATGTATTGTTGGGCCCTTTAGATCTTCTTTCTCCACTGGATAATTTTCAGTAAATTATATTTTCATAAAGCATTGCCCATTTCACCTGGGTTTTTCAGTATATTTGAATGGAACTGTGCAAAGTAATCTCTTGCTTTAGTTTAAATTTCTTCTGTTTTGATGGTTATTCTTCCCTTGTCATATCTTATTTGGATATATATTTTCTCTCCCCATTTTTTTTCTTTCTTTTTTTTTTTAATGGAGGTACTGGGAATTGAAACCAGGACCTTGGGCACGCTAAGCACTTGCTCTACCCTTGAGCTATACCACTCCCAACTTTTTCTTAATCAGATGGGCTAGTAGTTTTTATCTTTTCTTGATCTTGATTTCAAGAACCAGATTCTTGATTTATGAATTCTTCTGTTTTTCTGTTTACTAACCAGCTAATTTCAGCTTTTATATTAATGCCTTCTGTTTTCTTTTACTTTGGTATTTCTCCAGTGTTTTGAATATGATGTTTAGTTCATTCTGTTCATTTTTAGGTTTTGATTTTTATTTATGCAGCTGTTTATGCTGTGAATCTTCCTAAATAAATATTATTTCAACCACAGTGACTCTGATACAGCATATTTTTAATATTGTTATTTTCTCAGAAATCTGTAGTTTTGTTCATGTTTTCCTTTTGATCCAAGAATTATTTATGAGTTTTCAATGTTCTGGATTGAAAAGTCTTCTTAATAAATAAAACAACCGTTATTGAAGACTGCACCTTGGAACAGATGGGCATGTTCACTCCACACTAAAAATTTTCACATAAAGAAGATTTGGTTTTTGTTTGTTTGTTTGTGGGGAGAGGTAATTAGGTTTCATGTACTTACTTATTTTTTTTAATGGAGGTACTGGGGATTGAACACAGGACCTCATGCATGTTAGGCACGGGCTCTACCACTGAGCTATACTCTCCCCCAGGAAGACTTGCTTTTATTTGTACTTGCTTTATCTTTTTTATGTTTTGTCAGCCTTCTTCTCTTGGTGCTATTAGTCTTACTCAAAGATGAGATGCTCCTGGTATAGACTCCTGACATAAAACAAAGTCAAATCTGGGCTCCATCACTAATCAGCTGTAAGACTTTCAGGGGCGCAATTTGCTCTCTGGGCTTCTGTAGCCTTATCTGTTTGGGTAGGGCATTGACTCTCAGGTTTGTTTTCAGTCTACACCCTACCCTATAGCTGCACGGGAGGTGATAATTACTTCTGCTTTCTATTTGGAATAAACTGGCCCTCAGTTGAAAAGCTCCTCCCCACCTGTTCCTGGACTTGAAAGCAGAGGCATCTGGAGAGTCTGTGACCAGTTTTCGCATTTTCCTCTTGATGTTCGTGTTAGTATCGTCTCTGAATGTTAATGAAAATGAGGGGTTCACGCTGGACTGCTGATTGCTAGTCCACTTTATGGGACTGTGTTAATGGCAAAAACGCTGAAGGATGAAATCATTATTATTATTTTTTTTAAACTTGAACTGACCAGGCATTTTACATAAATTCTAAATAAATCTTCACTCTAAAGGTAGGTGGTATTGTCTGTTGGAAAATTAGGGAAGTGACTTTAAAAGGTGATGGCTTTTCTTGGGGCTCAGGGTGCTGGAAGATACATGATCTGTATGGTGGCAAGGTCTACCCCATTCACGCTGACCTGTTAAAGGCCAACCTTTCTTCCTTCTGGTTCCACAGGTAGTCGAGCTTTCTGTTACTCTATTTTTTTAGGCTTTAAAAAAAATTGTGGTAAAATACACGTAACATAGAATTTACCATCCTAACCATTTTTAAGGGTATAATTTAGTAGTGTTAAGTATATCCACACTGCTGTGAAAGTAGCCTTTTGTTTTTATTAATTTCTAATTTTATTTGGAAAATGTTGACTTATCTCTATTTTTCAAAATCATCTGAAGTTTTTTACAATCAACTAATATAGGGTCAACGGGTATACCGAACCATGTGTGCAGTGCCAACTGGTGTCTGCTGAGGCCCTGCGACCCCCATTCCTGGGTTCTCAGATGTCTGTCTGCAATCCGTCAAAAAAACAAAGTACACCCTTTCCTAATGTGTTTGCCTTGGCACAGTTAACAGCCCTGGGAAATGGCTAACTTCACCGTAGCTCAGGCTGACTTGTCTCAGCCCGTGTCTCCTCTTTATCCGAATCATAAATTCCACTACCTTGCTTGTGTCAGCCCGTATCTCCATCTCACTGGAGTCGTAAATCCACTATCCTCCCATATACCAAAGCCCCTTACCTCACTTACAGCCAATCAGAAATCTGTTCTCCCATCCCTTTGTGTTCACAGCCCCTTTCCCAATAAAAGACCCTGCACGTCACACTCAGACACACAGGCATCTCTTGCCGATGTGGCCCGCTGTT